CCAAAGGGGCCTGTGGAGCATTTTTCTAAGGAAAAGTGCTTGTGGATCCCTGTGGGGGGCCACTTGACAGGGCACGGTGGCGTTTTTTTGTCGTGACGACGACGACGACGACGACGACGACGACGACGACGACGACGACGACAACGAAGACGGCAACGGCGACGGCGACGGCGCGGTTACGGAAAGGGGGAAGGGGAGGGGGCCCCGGCGGTTAGGAGCGTTCAGAGCGGTGAGAACAGCGAAGACGGCCTAAGATGGCGGGGGTCGGAGCGGTGCGAATTGCCAAGATGGCCCAAGATGGCTGCAAGAGGGCCTCCGAGGGCCACTATCGCTCCCGCTCTAAGCGCCAAAGGGGCCTGTGGAGCATTTTTCTGAGGAAAAGTGCTTGTGGATCCCTGTGGGGGGCCACTTGACAGGGCACGGTGGCGTTTTTTTTGTCGTGACGACGACGACGACGACGACGACGACGACGACGACGACGACGACGACGACGACGGCGACGACGACGACGCCGACGACGACGACGACGACGACGACGACGACGACGACGACAACGAAGACGGCAACGGCGACGGCGACGGCGACGGCGCCCCTCCGAATTTCCTTCTGGGCGCAGGCCACGGCGACGACGACGGCGGCAGCGGCGATGGCGGCGGCGACACCCCCGGGCCCTCCTGGGGCTCTCTTGGGAGCCTCTTGGAGGGTCCTGGTCAAGCTCTTTTGGGCCCTCTTGAGGCGCTCTGGGGCCGCTCTGGGGCCCTCCGGGGCCCGTCTTGGGGCGCTCTGGGGGTACTTGGAGGCCCTCTTGGGCGCCTCCCGTGGCCCTCTCGGGGCTCTCTTGGGAGCTTATGGGAGCCCTCTTGGGTCCCTCGCGAGCCGCCTTGGGGCCCTGAGGGGCCGTTTTGGTCTCGACTCGGGCTCTCTGGGGGGCCTCTGGGGCCGTGTTGGGGCGATCTTGGAAGCGTCCTCGACCGTTTTGGACGCCGTGCAGACCAGAAGAGCGAGTTCTCCAAAAATGCACGTTTTAAGAAGGGAATGGGACGATTTTTGCGTCGGGAGGGCCCGCTCGGAGGTCTCTCGGGGCAGCTCGGGGGCGTCTTGAGCCGTCCTGAGGCCGTCTTGGGGGCGTCTGGAGCGGATCTTCGGCAGTCACGGAGCGTCCGCTGCGCGATCGGAGCCGCTCCAGATTGGAGCCGCTCCAGAGGCTCCGAGGCGACCCCGACGGCCACCCCGAAGCGGCCGGGGGGGGGGCGGCTCGCTGCCACTGCGCTCCGCACCGCACGCGCGGACCCGGCTATTGTAAGAGAGACTAGGGCTGACCCGCGGCCTCCGGCCGCGGAATTTGCCCGCCCTGGCGTGGACGTGGAAGTGGAGCGTCTCTGGGGCCTCGCGGGTAAGGGGAGGTTGGAGTGGACGGCGTGGATGGAGGAGGTGGTCGCTGGAGGGGAAGGTGGGCGAGGGATGCAGGCAAGCAGGCCTGAAGGCAGGAACGCGGTGGTGGAGGCGGTGTCAGTGGAAGCACACCCATGTAGGCATGACATGGTGTGGACAGAAGCTGTTTCTGACGCCGCAGTCTGTGTTCATCATAGCTTCTGCGGGGAAGGTAGCCGTGAGAATTTTATCTGCTCTTCGCCGGGGCCGACTGATAATTTCATCTGGCAGTGTGGTGACAATGGGGCCAGTGGGCGCGGCCTAGGAGGCCCGCAAGAGGGCGGCGAGACGGAACTCCCTAAGAAGGGCCCAAGTGCGGGGACACGAATCGACTTTTCGAGCGCACCTCCCCAAGACGTCCCCAAATAGCACAGAGATGACTCCCAGAGGGTCCAAGAAGCCTCCACAACGATGCTGGAAGTTCGGCGCTCTCCAACATAGAAGCATCCAAGGCCTCTCGGGGGCCGCTTGGGGGCCTCTTTTCGTCCTCGTGGGGGTGGGTTTCTCGGAGCCCTCTTTGGCAGTCTTGAGTGCATCTTGGGCCGTCTTGCGCCGATGTGGGGCCGTCTTGGGCGCCTCTTGGACCATCTTGGGACAATCTTGGGGCTGTCTTTGGTGTTTCTTGAACCGTCTCGGGCGCCTCTGGAGCCGTCCCGGACGGCCCAGAGACCGTCTTGGAGACTGTTCAAACGGAAAGGCTTGGAGACGGGGCGGCGGGGGCCTCTACACAGCCGTCTTGGAGACGGGGCGGTGGAGCCGTCTTGGGCCATTATTAACTGCTCTTGGGGCTGTCTTGGGTGCGTCTTGGGCCGTCTCGGGCGCCTCTGGAGCCGTCCCGGGGCAGTGTGTGGCCCTTTGGGCGCACTCATGGGGGCGTCTGGGCGCGTCTTGGGGCGAGCTGGGGGGCCTGTATAGCCTTCTGGACGCTGCGAGGACAAAAAAAACAGGATATAGCTTGAAAATGTACGTTTCCCGTCGGGAATGGGACGAGTTGGGCCTCTTGGGGCTCTCCTGGAGGCCTCCTGGGCCGTCTTGGGGGCCTCCTGGCCTGCCTTGGGGGTCTCTGGGGCTGTCGTGGGGCTCCCAAGGGTGCTCTGAGGCCGTCTTGGCGCCTGGAGCCTCTCGGAGCCGTCCCGTTGGCCATTCTTGGCTGCTCTTGGGGCTGTCTTGGGTGCGTCCTGGGCCGTCTCGGGCGCCTCTGGAGCCGTCCCGGGGCCGTGTGGGGCCCTTTGGGGGCTTCTGGGCGCGTCTTGGGGCGAGGTGGAGGGCCTCTATAGCTGTCTTGGACGCTGCGAGGACGAAAAAACTGAACATAGCGAAAATGTGCGTTTCCCGTCGGGAATGGGACGATTTGGGCCTCTTGGGGCTCTCCTGGAGGCCCTCCTGGGCCGTCTTGGGAGCCTCCTGGCCTGCCCTGGGAGCCTCTGGGGCTGTCGTGGGGCTGAGGCCGCCTTGGCGCCCCCTGGAGCCTCTCGGAGCCGTCCCGTTGGCCATTCTTGGCTGCTCTTGGGGCTGTCTTGGGAGAGTCCTGGGCCGTCGGGGCCATGTGGGGCCCTTTGGGGGCCTCTGGGCGCGTCTTGGGGCGAGGTGGAGGGCCTGTATGGCGGTTTTGGGGCTCTCCTGGGTTGCTCTGGGGGCGTCTTGGGGCGATCGGGAAGGCCTGTATAGCCGTCTTGGACGCGGTGAAGACGAAAAGAGCGAGCATATCAAAAATGCACGTTTTCCAAAGCGAATGTGGCAATGTTTGCCTCTTGGGTCCCTCCTGGGGGTCCTGGCTTGGGGTCCTCTGGGGCCGGCTTGGGCGCCTCTTGGGCCATCTTGGGGCTCCCTGAGCCGTCTGGGGACGCGCTTGGAGGCCTGGTGGGCCGTCCTTGGGAGGTCTTGTAGGTGTCTTCGGCCGTCTTGGAGCGTCGGCTAGCCGAGAAGGCGAGAAGGCAAGGGCGGTCTTGTGGGTGTATTCGGCCGTCTTGGAGCGTCGGCTAGCCGAGAAGGCGAGGAGGCAAAACTCCTTCAAAAAACATTGAAAAACTATAGATTTTGGCCTCTGGGGGCATGCTTCGGAGTACTGTTGGATGCTCTTGGAGGCCTCTTGGGGGGGTCTTGGGGCCTTGTGTGGGCGTATGGGGGCCCAGGGCTCGCAATGTCAAGGTTTTTCCCCGTTCTTTGGCCCCCTCTTGGGCCTGGCTTGGGGTCCTCTGGGGCCGGCTTGGGCGCCTCTTGGGCCATCTTGGGGCTCCCTGGGCCGTCCTGGGGCGATATTGTGGGTCTCTTCGGCCGTCTTGGAGCATCGGCTAGCCGAGAAGGCGAGAAGGCAAAAATGTTCAAAAACGAATGAAAAATTATGGATTTTGGCCTCTGGGGGGCATGCGTCGGAGTACTGTTGGACGCTCTTGGAGGCCTCTTCGGGGGGTCTTGGGGCCTTGTGTAAGCGTATGGGGGCCCAGGGCTCGGAGTGTCAGGGTTTTTCCCCGTTCTTTGGTCCCCTCTTGGGCCTGGCTTGGGGTCCTCTGGGGCCGGCTTGGGCGCCTCTTGGGCCATCTTGGGACTCCCTGGGCCGTCTGGGGACGCGCTTGGAGGCCTGGTGGGCCGTCCTGGGGCGGTCTTGTGGGTCTCTTCGGCCGTCTTGGGGCGTCGGCTAGCCGAGAAGGCGAGAAGGCACAACTCCTCCAAAAACCATTGAAACATTAAGGATTTTGGCCTTTGGGGGCATGCTTCGGAGGACTGCTGGAGGCTCTTGGAGGCCTCTAGGGCCTTGTTGGGGGCCTCCCTGGGCCGTCTGGGGACGCGCTTGGAAGCCTCTTGGGCTGTCCTGGGGCGGTCTTGTGGTTCTCTCCGGCCGTCGCGGAGCGTCGGCTAGCCGAGAAGACGAGAAGGCAAAATTCCTTCCAAAACCATGGAGAAAGGAAGGAGTTGGGCCTCTGGGGGCATGCGTCGGGGTACTGTTGGAGGCTCTTGGCGGCCACTTGGGGGGGCCTTGGGGCCTTGTGTGGGCGTATGGGGGCCCAGGACTCGGAGTCTCAGTGTTTTTCCCCGTGCTTTGGCCCCCTCTTGGGCCTGGCTTGGGGTCCTCCGGCGCCATCTCGGGCGCCTCTTGGGCCATCTTGGGGCTCCCTGGGCCGTCTGGGGACGCGCTTGGAAGCCTGTTGGGCCGTCCTGGGGCGGTCTTGTGGGTCTCTTCGGCGGGCTTGGAGCGTCGGCTAGCCGAGAAGGTGAGCAGGCACAACTCCTCCAAAAACCATTGAAAATTAAGGATTCTGGCCTCTGGGGACATGCTTCGGAGGACTGTTGGAGGCTCTTGGAGGCCTCTAGAGCCTTGGTGGGGTCCTCTATAGGAGGCCTCGTGGGCCTTGTTGGGGGCCTCTAGGGGGCCTCTTGGACACTCCTTGGAGCCTCTGATGGCCACTTCGGCGCGTCTTTGGGGGGAGGGCTCGATTTGTGACGCTCGGGGGCCAGCATCTGCGTGAGGGGTGTCGAAAAATGGCCCTCCAGGGAGGGCAAAGTGCACGACCTTTTCGCACGCGCTTCCGTCTGCCATAGAGAAGAGAAGTGACGTTGGGTTCCAGCTTCGCCTGCCACATCTCGCTCAGTACTGACAGCGCGTGTTGCCACAACCCGCCTGTTCTGCATGCGCTGACAGTCGCAATGTAGTGGCTTGAGACGAGTTGCACACCTAATCGAATTCCTTCGCGGAGTAACCGCAGTGCTGCGCTCCATTGCTTTGTCCGACCGCAGTTCTTGATCGACGCTTCGAGGGAAATAGCGCCTTCTCGAGACCCTCGACCGATGTCCAGCATCCGAAAAGACAAGGCACCACGGCATGGGCCAAAAATACCTTGGGTTGAAAATTGCTCGAGCCAAAACAACTTGAGCCAAACATGTCTACGGATGAGGAGGAGGAGGAGGAGGAGGAGGAGGAGGACGAGGATGATAATGATACTGGTAATGATGCTGAGACTGGTAATGATAACGATACTGATAATGATACTGGTAATAAGAATAATGATGATGGCATGGTGATGATGATGACGACGTTGACGATGCTGTTGATAATGACCATGATGATGATGATGATGATGATGATGATGATGATGATGATGATGATGATGATGATGATGTTGATGACGATGGTGATGAAGATGATGATGATGATGATGATGATGATGATGCTGATGATGATGATGATGATGAAGAGGAGGATGATGATGAGTATGGTGATGGTGATGGTGGTGATGGTGATGGTGATGGTGATGGTGATGGTGATGGTGATGGTGATGGTGATGGTGATGGTGATGGTGATGGTGATGGTGATGGTGATGGTGATGGTGATGATGATAGTAAGTATGATGACGGTGATGATGGTGATGATAATGATGGCCACGAATTCGCTGCAGGTGCTACGCTCGCGGCTTCTCCGTATGCTTGTTCTCCTCGCACCTTCTGCAGCCTTCCCCCATCCCCTCCCCACGCCTCCTCCTCCTCTTCCTCCTCCTCCTCTTCTTCCTCCTCCTCCTGCTCCTCCTCCTCCTCCGTCCTCCTCCTCCTCCTTCTCCACGTTTCTCCTCTGTCCTCATCTAGCCTCATCCTCTCCCCCCACCCCCTCCGTCCCCCCATCTGATCCCTCCTCCTTGTTCCTCCCTCCTCATCACCCCGTCCTCATTCCTTATCCATCCTCCGCCTCCTCTTCTTCCTCTTCCTCCTCCTCCTCCTCCTCGTCCTCCTCCTCGTCCTCCTCCTCCTCGCTCCTCCTCCCTCATCACTCCTCCTCTCCCCTCCCTCATCCTCCTCTCTTCTTCTCCTCTTCTCCTCCTCCTCCCTCCTCCTCGGGAGCGGTGCGCGCTGTGATATACGCGGAAGGCTTCGGTCACTCCTCCTTCTCCCCCCTCCTCCCTCCATCCCCCGAGGGCGCGGGTAAGCCCGCGGCCATGGAGAGGCAGACGTGGCACGTCTCCGCGCCGGAGACAGGGTCGGTGTAGAGTACCTGCGGCGTCGGCGACACTCTGGGCGGCGACGGCAGGGACCCCGAGGTTCCCTGACATCCGCCGACGTGGGCTTCCCAATTCGCAGCCCCGAAATCCCGACCCCTGCCTCCCCCGTGTGTCGTCCCCGGCATATCTTCCTGCTCCCGGGGCCGAGTAAACGCAGCCATGGGTGCCGAGGTCAAGGAGAAAAACGCGGGCTGGAAAACTCGCACCGTGGGAGATCCGGGCGGCGAACGAGCGCCCCCGTCCGGGAGGAGGCGGCCGCGGAGCCGAGGCAGGGGCCCCGAGGCTGCCAGAGCCCCCCCCCTCCTCCTCCTCCTCCTCCTCCTCCTCCTCCTCCTCCTCCTCCTCCTCCTCCTCCTCCTCCTCCTCCTCCTCCTCCTCCTCCTCCTCCTCCTCCTCCTCCTCCTCCTCCTCCTCCTCTCCTCCTCCTCCTCCTCCTCCTCCCTCCTCCTCCTCCTCCTCCTCCTCCTCCTCCTCCTCCTCCTCCTCCTCCTCCTCCTCCTCCTCCTCCTCCTCCTCCTCCTCCTCCTCCTCCTCCTCCTCCTCCTCCTCCTCCTCCTCCTCCTCCTCCTCCTCCTCCTCCTCCTCCTCCTCCTCCTCCTCCTCCTCCTCCTCCTCCTCCTCCTCCTCCTCCTCATCCTCCTCCTCCTCCTCCCTCCCTCCCTCCCTCTCCTCCTCCTCCTCCTCCTCCTCCTCCTCCTCCTCCTCCTCCTCCTCCTCCTCCTCCTCCTCCTCCTCCTCCTCCTCCTCGCTCCCTCCTCCTCCTCCTCCTCCTCCTCCTCCTCCTCCTCCTCCTCCTCCTCCTCCTCCTCCTCCTCCTCCTCGCTCCTCCTCCTCCTCCTCCTCCTCCTCCTCCTCCTCCTCCTCCTCCTCCTCCTCCTCCTCCTCCTCCTCCTCCACCGTCGCTGGGCGACGGTGAAGGGTCCTATTGCTGCTGTCGTGGCTACGCTGTTGGATCTAGGTTGGGAGCCTATCTCCCCGACCAGATGGAGAACCCCCACGATGGTGCTTGATGCTGAGCGCTCGGATTTCATGTATTTCCTGGATCTGAGTGTGAAGCATACGGTTTCCCTGAAGAACTGGACGGATGCAAGCAAGCACTATTGTGGGGTTGGAGTTGAGGAAGGTATTGATTTTACAGTTTTCAGGCGTATGTACAGGAAGCTCGTGTCCGACGGCTCCCATCAAGATGCAGCGCCACTGGCGTGCATTGTCTGTAGTGGATGCTGGCCTGAAGCACGGCTTCGACAGGCTGGCTACTGTTCTGATGGAGTGTGCCCTCGATGCGGCGCTGGTCAGGAAACGATGATGCATCGTATCTGGTTTTGCAGTTGCAATGAGTCGATTGAGTCCAGTGGTATGAGTCAGTCTGCACATCTGGTTCCTGACGCCCAGGAGGCCGCGCGTACGTGTCCTGAGAGTGCCTTTTGGAATAGGGGGCTCCCTACGCTGGCTGCCGCCGTTGATCGTGTTCCGCCGCCTGCTCCACTTGTCTTCGGATGGGGTGTTTTGTCTGCTGGGTCGCCTGTTGTTGGAGGCACTTGGGGCCTTGATGGCTCTGGGGGAATACATGCTCATGACTGGAGACTTCGGAGGTGTGGTTGGGCCATGGTGCGTATGGACGAGACCTCTGAACCTGGCGATTTTAGATGTGATGGAGTCCTGTGTGGGACGTTACCTACTCGAGATCAGTCCAGCCCGAGGGCTGAGTTGTTCGCCTTCCTCCAGCTGTTGCGCCTGACCACGGGTGACGTCGTGGTGTATTCGGACTACCTCCCCCTTGTGAGGGCCCTCCGTAGGCCACGTGAGCTGATATCCAGAACTTCTCCGATGATGGATCTGTGGGCTTTGATCTGGGAGGCAATGGATTCTCGCTCTGGCAATATTGAGTTGTTGTGGACGAAAGCACATACTTCCGCGTCCTTGCGTGATGCTTGGGGCCTCAGTGAGGCCGAATGCTTTTTGAATGCCTGTGCCGATTATTTTGCTGGGGTGGCCGCTGCAAAAGGGGAGGTGGCTCCCGAGCTTGTCCAGCTAAATCACGATGTTGATTTGCTAACCTCCCAAGTGCTGTGCCGTTTGCTCGACGTCATTAGGGAGGTTAGCCTCACTTGCCACCGCAATAAGGCTGAGCGCGTTGGTAGGCCGCCACCTCGCCCGAGGTCGCTGCCCACCGATGTTGTCCGTCGTCGGCGGCTGTTGGCAGCTGGCCATTCGGTCGAGCCTGCCAAGAAGGGCCTGTTGCGGTGCCAGGTGTGCGGTCGTAAGTTTCGGGCCTTCGCAGGCCGCCTCGCCGATTTCGTGCCTGGGCGATGCACGGGCCCCCCCGCGCCACTTGACGGCCCAGGGGTGGTTATGGCCCACCCGTGTTGGTCCCGCGTGCATAGCAGCCATCAGTTGGACTGCGTGCGAGGTGTATTGTTTTGCAGGGTGTGCGGTCGGCACTGCGTCGACAGAGTTCAGGCGCTGGCCGAGCTGTGCCCACCTCAAGGCCCCACCAAAGCGGGCCGTGAGGTGCTGTCTCGTTTGGGGCGTGGTCTCCCTCCTAAGAGCGGGGTGAGGTTCCCGCCTGGGCACTGACTGTGACGAGTGGGTCTCCGTTTATCGGAGAGTGCCCAGCTTGGCAAGGTCAAAAAGGTCCTCCTCCTCCTCCTCCTCCTCCTCCTCCTCCTCCTCCTCCTCCTCCTGCTCCTCCTCCTCCTCCCCCTCTCGGGGCGAAGAGCGCGGCGCGCCCCCCCCCCCCCCTGGAGAGCGCCGACCACGGCAGCCCCAGTGGCCGCGGAGACCGGCCAGGAGAGAGGAGGCAGACGCACAGGTCCGAGGAACAAAAGCGAGCGTTCTCTTCTTCGGCGTTTCGATCTTGGGCGGAAGGGGTCCTATGGGGAGGAGGAGGAGGAGGAGGAGGAGGAGGAGGAGGAGGAGGAGGAGGAGGAGGAGGGGGAGAAGGAGGAGGAGGAAGAGGAGGAGGAGGAGGAGGAGGAGGAGGAGGAGGAGGAGGGGGGAGGGCTCCGCAGCGGTGCGCCCTATGGGGGAGACTCCACCTGCTTGAAACAGACGCCATAAACAGCCAAGGTCCACTCCATGGGGGGGGAGGGTGCGAGGGCCCGCGCCGGTCGGCAAAACACTGAATTTAAAAACGATCACGAAATAAAGCATTTCAAATGTTTCGCGATAGCGGCCGTTACTGGCCCCGGCAGCCCCCCTCCCGCCCCCAGGTAACGTCGCGATTCGTGCTGACCTCCGAGCTGGCTTTGGCTATTGCTAGACATTCCCAGACGGCGCTGGGGCGAGACATAACGTTACCAGCCCCCCGCCCCCCTCCCACCCCCCCGTAACGCCCATTTATCGCTCGGGGAGAAAAACACTTTCTTACCCAACGTCGACCCCGAAAATGAACGCAAGGGCCACAGGACAAGCAGCGGCAACATCGGCAACAACCGCATCAGCAAAGCCGGCAGAGGTCTCGGAAGGCGCAAACCTTACTACAGAAACCCTTCTGCATAGGTCGGGCATGTCCCCCCACAAGCGGATTTTGGACGAAACATAGACAAAAATCACAACAAAAAAAAAAAAAAAAAAAAAAAAAATCCCGGTCGACGTACCCAACCCCTGCGCAATGCGGGGCATGAGTAGCTTGGGAGACGTTATACGGAGGTGATGACGTGACACGGGCGCATATACTTCTGCGAGCGGCATTCGTGTCTCGCAGCCCCCCGGGGATTCCAAGGTCCCGCTCAGATCTGCGTGGTGCCTCACTCCGCTGGACCCACCAGCAGCCCTCGAAAGTGGCAAAAGTGTCGCAGATCGCAGCCCCCAGGAACGGCGAGGTCCCGCTCAGGTCTGCATGGTGCCTCACTCCGCTGGACCCACCAGCAGCCCTCGAAAGTGGCAAAAGTGTCGCAGATCACAGCCCCCCAGGGACGGCAAGGTCCCGCTCAGGTCTGCGCGGTGCCTTACTCCGCTGGACCCACCAGCAGCCCTCGAAAGTTGCGACAGCGTCGCAAATCGCAGCCCCCCAGGGACGGCGAGGTCCCGCTCAGGTCTGCGCGGTGCCTCTCTCCGCTGGACCCACCAGCAGCCCTCGAAAGTTGCGACAGCGTCGCAAATCGCAGCCCCCCAGGGACGGCGAGGTCCCGCTCAGGTCTGCCCGGTGCCTCACTCCGCTGGACCCACCAGCAGCCCTCGAAAATGGCGACCGCGTCGCAGATCGCAGCCCACCAGGAACGGCGAGGTCCCGCTCAGGTCTGCATGGTGCCTCACTCCGCTGGACCCACCAGCAGCCCTCGAAAGTGGCAAAAGTGTCGCAGATCACAGCCCCCCAGGGACGGCAAGGTCCCGCTCAGGTCTGCGCGGTGCCTTACTCCGCTGGACCCACCAGCAGCCCTCGAAAGTTGCGACAGCGTCGCAAATCGCAGCCCCCCAGGGACGGCGAGGTCCCGCTCAGGTCTGCGCGGTGCCTCACTCCGCTGGACCCACCAGCAGCCCTCGAAAATGGCGACAATATCGCAGATCGCAGCCCACCAGGAACGGCGAGGTCCCGCTCAGGTCTGCGCGGTGCTTCACTCCGCTGGACCCACCAGCAGCCCTCGAAAAAAGGCGACAGTATCGCAAATCACAGCCCCCCAAGGACGGCGAGGTCCCGCTCAGGTCTGCGCGGTGCCTCACTCCGCTGGACCCACCAAAGTGGCGACATCGTCGCAGATCGCAGCCCCCCAGGGACGGCGAGGTCCTGCTCAGGTCTGCGCCGTGCCTCACTCCGCTGGACCCACCAGCAGCCCTCGAAAGTGGCGACAGCGTCGCAGATCGCAGCCCCCCAGGGACGGCGAGGTCCCCGGGGGCAGGAGGCGAGAAAGCGGCGAGAGGCAGGAGGCGGGAGGCGGGAGGAGGAGAAGACGCGACCGCAGTACTCTATTCAAAACGAATACCCAACCAAGCAGGCTTGGGAATGATCAGAAATGGTAGAACAATCGTCCGCTGACCATGTTCTAACCATGTTTGAACATTCCTCCTGTAGAGGGACGTGCCCGACTTAACCTTATGCTGCAGCGTATTTGGGGCATCATAGCAAATCGGTCCGACCAAGAGTGCCCCACAACAAAAAATGCCTTCGGCCGGCGCCCAGCCTCGTCGTCTGCGGGCGGGCGGGCGGAAGTCCGCCCTGATCCCCACACGGAGGACTCGCTCCAGGCGCCGAGCGGCCACGGAGACTCTGGGACGAGCGGCGAGGGAAGGAGGGAAGGGGAAGGAGGGAAGGGAAAGGGGAAACAAACAGGACGATGGCACTTTCTCGTGACGCGAAAGCAAGCAAGGAAGCTGCGGATACGCCCCCCAAGTTGGAATCTGAGGGCCTCTACTAGACCCCAGGATCGTACAAAGATAGGGTTCGGGATGGAAAACCGTTCCCTGGGAAAGGGTGTGGTGCACATTCCGCTGGAAGCCCAAATTACGAAAGAATCTGGACGTCGGGGGTATGGGAAAGCACGGCGGGTTCGTGTCGTGTCGACCCCGGCGCTGGTTCCTGACACCGCGGGGATCGTTCAACCTTGAACGATCGGTCGTTTCCGAAACGTCTGATCGTTCAACATTGACCGAATTTGGGCGACCGACGGTATTCAACGTTGAACACCGGCGGCGGGGTCGCCGCTGGTCGACACGACGCGAACCTGCCATTGGGGAGGTGATGAAATTGCAAGCCTCCTAGAAGGGGTCTGCATAGATGGGGACAGAGAATCGCACCGCATCGCCAATGCATCGGCGATACATCGCCGACGTCGGCGACGCATCGGCGACGTGGGCGTGGAAAAAATCGGCTTCGGCATCGAACCGCATCGTCGATGCATCGGCGATGCGGCGCGACCCCCCGACCACATCTACTCCGATCCCATCTAGGATGCCTAGAGAGATTGGAACGGAGGGGGGACGCGCTGGGGGAGGAGAAAGCAGGAGAGGGAAGACTGGCACTCACATTCGAACCTCACGCCATCGTTGGCAGCATGCCTGCGCACGCCGTAGAAAGAAAGGCGCACGCGAGTCCGTGCACGATTTGGCTCGGCAGCGCTGCGCGCGCAGAGCGCGATCATGCCGAGCAGCTGCGGCGAACCCGGGAAGCTGCATGCAGCACTGGGCTCAGGCCGTCTGGTCCACGAACACCCTCGGCGGCGCCTCCGTCACGCCCCGGCCCTCGACCACCACGACCTGCTCGGGGGCCCGCTTGCCACGGGCGCCCGCCGGGCGCGGGCCGAGGCAGCGGCCTCGAAGCACCTTGCTGACCTCCGCCGAGCAGCTGCGCTCGGCGGGGCGGGTGCCCCACCCCTGCGCGTCTGCTTGCCGGCCCCCATCCGCACGTCGTTCTCCAAGCGGCCCCAGGCGAGGCCCCCCTCTCACGTTGGGCGGGGAGTCGCTCGACGAAGCCACAGACTCCCAGCACCGCATGCTCGCCGCGCCGCGGGGCTAGCAGGCCATCCTCGATGGTCGCCAGTGCTTGCCCGCCGCTCGAGAGGCGGCCTCTGGCCATACTCTGGGGCGGCGCAGGCCCTCGAGCTTCCCCCTCCGCCCGAGCGGCCCCGGCCGACGGCCGCGCGCAAGGGCGGGGCGGCCCGCCCCGCGCAGCCGGCTGCCCCGGCTGCCAGGGGGCCATGGCCCCCGCCCTGCACGCGGCGCCCGCAGGGCCGCGGCTGGCCCAGCGGGCCACGTCCTCTGCGGGGCTGAGCCGCGGCTCGAGGAGCCATCGGCGTCGCCGTCGCGCCCTCCTTCTCCTCAGAGGTCGGCCCCATCCGCGGGGCTCGCCCCCCGATCCCGCGGCCTCGCCCCGCAGGGTGCCGCGCTGCTGGATCGCTGCATCGATGCTTCTCGCGCAGCGCACTGAGCTGCCACACCCTGCCCCCCCACCCGACAGCTGCCCGCGCCCCTCCGGCGCGATCGGGCGCCCGAGAAGCTCCACGCAGCATTTCGCGGCCTCGGCGACTTCTTTGCTGACGTCTGCATTCGGCCCGCGCGCGAAAATGTCGCGGCGCTTCCCGAGCCCTCGCCGACCCGGTCTTCGAAGTCCCCGATAAACCGCAGCTCGCCCTCGCGCCTCCCCCATCGCGCCCCCGCCCGGCGCGACCGGCGCCAGCCTGCGGGCGCCCCAAGTCGCTCGGCGCCCGCGCGCCCCCCTCGCGGGTAGGGGCGCCCATTAGCACTGCCAGCATCGCCGCGGATGGCGCCCCTCCTCTGACAGCGGCGCCGTCGGTGGCCCCACGCCCAGGGGCCCCCCGATCTCCGGCCGCGGCGGGGCGGGCGGCTGCGGATGTCGAGGGGGCGCCAGCGCGAAATCCACCATTCCCTCTGCCGGCACGGCGTCCTCTTCGTCGCCCTCTTCTCGCTCTCGTCCGCCATCGGCCGCGCCCCCTTCTCGCCCGCGCCTCGGGCGCTGCGGGCGCCCCCCTGGTCGCCGGCCCCGGGCCGAACCTGCCCCGATCGGCGGGGGGCGCGACCGACGTAGCTGCCCCTTGCCCGGGCCCCCCCGGACCTGGCGGCAGCCCGCCCTCCTCGCGCGTCGGCGGGGCCACCCCCCCACAGGATCGAGCGGGGCCCCGCCGGCGCCAGCAATCGCTATTACCGCGCCGCCGCTGCCGGACCTTGCCCCTTCGGCCGACGGCTGAGGTGCTCGCTCTCTCGGGGCCGCGGGGCGCCTGACCCAGGGCGCCCGGCCCCGAGGTCGGCGGCGCCTGCCCGCCAGGGCCCTCGCGGCCCCCGCCTTCATCGCTTCTCTCTGACAGCGCTGCACCGCCCGGGCGGGGGCGCCCGGGGCGGGCCCGGCGCCCTCCTCGGCGGGCCCGCGGCCCAGTGCTGCCCAACAACTCCGTTTGAAACCCAGCCTGAAGGCCTCCCCCACGCCCCGCGCCCACCTCTCTCGGTTGTCTTCGAGCATCTCGAAGCCAAGGACCTCCCCAGCTTTCTCACGCCGCCCTGCCCCCGGCAACTCGGGCGCCCCCGCCCTCGCCGACCCCGTGGGGAACCGCCCAGGCATGGAGGGCCGCTCCACCAACGCGAGCGCGCGGCGCCGCCGCGCGCGAATTCCTGCCGACAGACCACCCCAGGGGCCAGCGCGGCCGCGCCCCCCGAGAAACAAGCGGCTGCAAAACATGCGACGAGCCCGCTGACCTGACCGACCTCTGGCCCGACGGATAGGAGCACGGGCCGCCCCGATGCCCTGCCCGCCCCCCATGGGGCCCATCCCCCACCGAAGGCGCGCACCCCCGTCGAGCGCCCCCCCCCCCGGCCGCGGCGGAAGGGGAGGGCGCGCGAACGGGTGGGCGCCTTCGCCCCGGGCGGGCGCCCACCGGCCCCCCGCGCAGCGAGCGGCTGCGAAACGCGCGACGACCCTGCAATCACGACAGCGCTGAAATTCCAGAACAGGGCATGAAGCGCGGCCTCGAGATCCTGCCCGACCCCCAGAGGACCCCTCCTCCTCGCGAGGGCGCACCCGCCCGTCGAGCGCCCTCCCCCCGCCCGCCGCGGCGGGAGGGGGGGGCGCGCGGACGGGCGGGGACTCCGCGCCGGCGGAGCGCCCACCAGTCGACGGGGCATCGAGACCGCCCAGGAGGCGCGCGGGCAGTCGAAAGCGGGAGCCCCATACCTGGGTCGCGCGACGATCCAAGAGTCTCGACCGCGCAACGAACCAGCAGAAGAACGGAGGCCCGCGCGGCCCCGAAGCCCCGCCCACCCCACAGGACCTACCCCCTCCACGACGCCCGCGGCGGGAAGGGAGAGCACGTCGACGGGCGGGCGCCGTCGAGATGGGAGGGCGCCCACCAGCCGACGGGGATTGCGGGACTGCCTCGCGGGCGCGCCCCCCTTCTGAGCTTCCGCCGGACACGGCGGGCACTATCTCAGCCGCGCGCGGCCCACCTGCTCCCGGACACGAGGCGACCGCTACGCTCAACGCGCCCAGGGCCCTGCGGCGGCCGTCTCACGCGCGGCCCCGCCAGCGAGGCCCCCGCCCCGTCGCGTGGAGCCCCGCGCAGTAGATGCAGGCGGGTGCGCGGCGCCGCCCGAGCCGCGCGGCCAGCTGGCGCCGCGGCGCACCGCCGCCAGTCAGCGGCCCTCCGACCGCCGCCCGGCGGCCATTTTCCCCGCGCGGCGGCGGCGATCCGCCCTGACCTGCTGTCTGGGGCGACGCCGCCGACGCCGCCTGGGCGCCTCGTCGGGCCCCGGCGACCTCCTGATCAGAGCTTGCTGGCACGCACGACCAGGCCCTCTGCGGCCTCCTGGCTCGCCCCGATCGTTTCGGGAGCCGCCCCTTCTTCTTGCCCGTCTTGGCTGTCTGGAGCTCGCCCGCGGAGTTCGAGATGCAGAAGAACGGGAGCAGATAATTGGTCACCCTTTTGCGCTCCGCTTCGCCCAGTATGGCGCAGATCTCGGGCGGGCGGAAGGCGCGATAGTTGCCCGTGAACTTGCCCTGGAAAAGCCGCGATGCAAGTCCCTGAGCAAGTCTGCGGTGGCCCCCTCCCCTGAGATCGTGGACACGTGCTTGATGGCCTTTTCTGTAGGCCTCCTCGTCGTTGGAGCCGATGGCGCCCATGACTGCGCATGGTCCCAATACAACAACCTGTCCAGCTTGATATCGTCCCCTCTCGTGGCATTGATGACGGACACCAGATTAGCCGTCCTCCG